GTCAATCAAATATCTCGGTTCATCTTCGAGTAACTGTTGTAAGTAATACAAACGATTAGCAGGATCATTCAATTTGGAACTAATTCTAGCTACAAAGGCACTACGAAAAGTATCATACTCCATCGCATCACCTTTAAATTTCTTTATTTCAGCCTGAGGTAGAGACATTGCTGCCATTAATTGTTTATGCATTGTTAGTATATCATCAGTGGAGTTATCTACCTTTGTTGACGGTGGGGGGTTGTGTTGCATAATTGTTCTGTAAAGGTGAACGCTCTAGGAAACTGTTCTCATTATTCTGGATATGGCCTATCGGTGTAGCGTTATTACTAGATTCATAAGCTGTCTGTTTCTCTTGCTGATTACCGGGACTAACAACATTTTCAACAGAATTAATTTCAGAAAAAACTCTAAGTTCATTTTCCTCCTCGTGGACTAATTCTGTCAAGGCCCTTTCTCTGGCTTGAGCCTTAGCAATATTAATTTCTAACTTTATATTTCTTGAGATTTATCTAAGTACTTCCTTTCCGTTAACAATTCTGCAATTTTAGCTCTTTCTTGGGCGCGAATCACAGAAGTTGAAACGTTAGTTCTTTTACTGACACGATTTACCGACACACTATCAATATTGTCATTGTCATCTTCACCAAAGTCTATTAAATTTACCACTGGTTCGCGAGTTGATGCCATGATTAATACTATAAACTCACTTCACAATGAAATTTCATCTGTTACACTAATTACAGTTGTGTGAAACTAACTGCATGTTCTAAAACTAATATAGCAGCTGTAATTAAAACAATAGTCCAATGTATCTTTAGCCATTTATTGTTCCTTTCTTACAACTCTATAGGATGTCCATACCGTAATAAACATTAGAACCGTTAAACCATTATAATATACATGTAATACTGACTGTACAGGTGATAGGCCTACTACTGGCGGACATTACAGTTTACACTTGATTCACCATGTTCGATTAACAGCCTGTCTTTACTGATTTACCATACTGATATACTAAACCTAAAAAGTCTAAACACTCGTCATCAACTGCCGTTCAATTCAGAAAACCATTACCCTTATCTATCTTGCATGAACTGAGCCGAGAAACGGTTACAGAACTATCAGCAATTAGTTTCTGCTCTAACTCTTTAACAAGCACATGTTTACGTTGCCGCCGTAACCGGAAATAAGACCACGACTTAACTAATGGCCTCAGACAACTAATTAACTATCCTTATACATAATGCAATGTGTTTTGCTGCAGTAACACCAAGGTTATTGATCCTCTCTAGAGGTCACAAGTTTTATCCAATTTTGATGAAACTTAAAACATGTGTTTATATCCCGAAAATCTCTGTTTCTGTACATATTCACGGATATCGGACCCTAACTTCCTGGATTATGGCCCCTGATTGTACACACCCACATTGAAATGTGGTCGTATATTGTCGTCGCCCTCGTCCATCCGTCTGTTGGTCCAGTGTCCACAATTGGTTGTGGACGCTCTAGAGGCTAAATTAAATATCCAATTGACTTTAAATTTATACACAGTGTTTAAGGTCATGAGACAAAAAATCCTATTGATTTTCAGCGATTTCCAATAATTACTACCAGAATTATGGCCCTTGATCAATTCAAAAAATCTTGTGGACGCTCTAGAGGCTAAAGTTAATATCTGATTGACTTTAAATATATACACAGTGTTTAAGGTCATGAGACGAAGAATCCTATTGATTGTCAGTGATTTCTGATAATTACTGCCAGAGTTATGGCCCTTGATCACTTTGAAAAATCTTGTGGACGCTCTAAAGGCTAAAGTTAATATCCGATTGACTTTAAATTTATGCACAGTGTTTAACCCTTCCTGAGCTAACCACTTCATACCCATAGAGGGCTATGCAAATATTGAGTAGAAATCAAGCTTTAGATCCTGTTGTGAAAAACCATGCATACCTTGAATATGAATGCGACTACAACTGTAAAATTGCCGATGTATATCCATTATATATGACTTGAGATTTTTGCATATTTTTAGTTTAGATTTTATGGCTACCATGGTTACCAGTGGGTTTCAAAATGGCTGCCATATTATTGTCATAAATGAAATACATGTATTGGATATTTTCTTGTCATTAAAAAATCCAAGATGGTCAGGAATAAAGCTATATAACATGATAGATATCTCTTTTGTAAGAATAGTATAGGCTTTTGGGGAAAAGTCACTAAATTGTGATAATAATGGGGTTTTTCTAAAAATAATAAAATGTAAATGAGCAGTATTGACAATTTTGCGGTAGACAACACAAATATAAAAATCATCAGTAACAAGTTTTTATTAACAATAAAATAAAAATAAATGAAATATTTGGAAAATATAAATAATATATACCGAAATATTCACATTAGGGTTGCCATGGTAACCAATTTGACCATATCATATACGTCTATATTGGCAGCGATCTACGTACGCGACTGTATAAAAGCAGACGAATAATTTCCTCAGGAGAAGTCTTCCTTTTTTGTGTCTTTACCCGAATCCAATATAGATGTGACGTCCGAATCTTTTTTCCAAACGCCCAAAATTGTCCGACCGGGAATATGCCCAATCGGACATCAAGACATGGAGAATAATATTCAAAATTCCGAAATTAATATAGTTTACTGAGTGTATAACTACCACTCAACCCGATTATCGTCGATAATACGCTGGGTTTATTAGGTAATTAAGTGATCAACGTATTTATCGTGTTATACCGTCTATAGTATAAACCTACCTTGATTTAACTACTTAATCTGCCTTGATTGACTGACTTAATCCTTTGTCGGACAATTCATCAATCTAATCTTAAACAGAAGTCATTGCTTTTCTTTTGTCGGACTATTCATCAATTCAATAAGAATGATTATAATTTTAATCCACCTCATTTGTTGGGCATCTTAATCGCATTGATGTGAGCCGACATCATCTATAATAAACTAATCATAGATGTCACATATCGTAAGAGTAAATAACACCCTAAATCAATGGACAGTCATTTTGTCTACGATATCTTTTACGTCTTTTAAGAATCCATATAGAAATTCTCATCCACGGTGGCACTTTCCCTTGATCTCGAGCGCGGCACGAATATTGCTTAACATATTATTAGGCAGTGCTTACTATGAAGCCGTGTGATGAGTCACGTAGGCTATTAGTCTCTATTATCCAGAAAAATATTCTGCGAATATGTTGAAGACTAGGAGTTTCTGGGTGACCGTGACTAGTACGCACCCAGCAAAATAACAAAAAGGGAAGGGGCTACCAATAGCTATATGAGCAGAAATTCTAACGTATTTGTAGGCGGGAATTAAGAAGCATGTCAATCATTCTGCTGTGTTGGCTATGATGCCTGTCACTCTGTCGTGACTATGAAAGAGTGTTATTCGCTGAAGTTAGCTATGCCTGTTTACAAGTGATTTAACTATTTCGGAAGTTCTGCATTCATTTGCTGCCGTATAAACGAAGACCCGTAATTCTAAAGGAATATTATGGTTGTAAATTTGATGCCGAGGCAGGATCGGCAAGCTTTCATTCAACATATCACGAAAATGCTTAATTTTGTAGGACATTTACTGACATAAATTTGAATGCCGTACGGGAATTAAGTGTGAAAAATAGCGAGGTCACCAATTTTTATTACGTACGGGATTTGAATATTTTGTTGACATGTGATTTTTAATTGTGGTATGAATTGAATACTGTACAGGAATTAAATATGAAAAATAGCGAGGTTCACCTATTTTTATTACGTACGGGATTTGAATATTTTGACATGTGACTTTTAATTGTGGTACGAATTCGTCTGCTTAAATAACGATAAGAGTTATGCTCCTTTATTTTCGTTAAAATGTCCGACAAGTAAAATTTTGAAATCCCATCACTGTCTGACAGACTATAAAATTATCCCGACAATCATCGGGATTAGCTCAGGAAGGGTTAAGGTCATGAGACAAAGATGCCTATTGATTTTCAGCGATTTCTGATTATTACTGCCAGAGTTATGGTCCTTGATCACTTTGAAAAACCTTGTGGACGCTCTAGAGGCTAAAGTTAAAATCCGATTGATTTTATAATTATACACAGTGTTTAATGTCTTGAGATGAAGAAGCCTATTGATTTTCAGCGATTTCCGATAATTACTGCCAGAGTTATGGCCCTTGATCACTTCAAAAAATCTTGTGGAATCTCTAGAGGTCAAAGTTAATATCTGATTGACTTCAGATTGATACACAGAGTTAATGGTTTTGAGATGAAGAATCATATTGATTTTCAACGATTTCCGATAATTACTGCAAAATTTATGGCCCTTGATCACTTTGAAAAATCTTGTGAGGCTCTAGAGGCTAAAGTCATCACCCGATTGACTTCAGATTGATACACAGAGTTTATGGTTTTGAGACGAACAAGTATATTAATTTTCAATGAATTTTTATGACTTGAACAGCTAAATCCATTATGTTAAAAGTTTTTCGTATACTACACGTTAGCATGGGGCAGAAGTTTATAAAAACAAAAAAAATTCTAATGGTTTTCTGATAATTACTTAATGAGTTGTTACTCTTAATCAGATTTTAATGTATTATAAATGTTTCATTACCGAATAAAGTAAAAATATGCGACAACTCTTGTTGACTGCCCGGACGATTTAGCTGCTGTGGGTGTATGTTCGTTGCCTGGCAATCTATCTTCTTTTTAGCTTGTTCTGTTGCAAGATATGGATGTATCTTGCATGGCAACAGCTTGTTATCCTATTTTGACGAAACTTGAAGTATAGGCTTATCTCCTTTCAATATTGGCATGTATCTGACTATAACTTTATAGATTATGGCTCCTTATTGTCGACACTCTATCGATATTCAGCGTTCTTCTATATTCTGTTCCAGAGTGATGTGTTTCGTGCTATGTGCATGTGGATATATAATTGTATTTGATTTAATTGCATTTTTTTCTATTACAGAGTAAAAAGATACGAACTGTTGTTAAAACCAAATCTTTGTATGGTATTAGGAATATTAAAAGATCAGCACATGCTGTCTTTACAGTTAGTAAAAAACAGCATCTACTTTCTTTATTAACTATGTTTGGTCCAAGTCCCGATTGGTGCGTCGGTAAGTTAACTTCCGAGTTTCTTATCTCAGATACTCTCTTGGAATGTTTTGTTTCTTTTTAGCTGATCAAGAACCTTAAAAAATCAGCCATCTTATCTACCAAGAATTACATTGTTTTTCTTGATACTTTCTTCGTTAGGAATTAAGTTGCTCTGTTAAACAAATGGATTTTAAGACTTGTTTTAAAACTTGATAACATATTGCTGCTGCAAATAAAATATGTTAGTCTGTCAGAACTACAATATTCAATTCTAGGTTGATAACAAATATCTCATGGGAAGTTTCTCCAGTAAATTTCCATTGAACCAGGGCTTGCCACGAGCAAATTGGAGGCGAGTAGATGACTACTCACGCAAATATAGACTTGCCGAGTGAGGCGAGTACATGTATTTACTCACGCAGAATGATGTGCGTGAGCAGCCATTTAAATTGCATGTGCCTAATGGCAATGCTCTTGTCACTTCGGTGGAAGCGGACGTTGAATAAAGCTATTTCACACACAAAGGCAATGCATACTCTTTTATTTCCTTGGCAGTAATATTATCTGTAAATCGTCTTCCCATGACAATAACGTTGCAAGGGAAACTGGGTTTCCCTTTGCCATCGTTGGCGTGCTGAGGGGATTCGGGTAAAGCTTAGAAAGGTAAAAGAACAGGCAAAACAATTTCAATCCCATCAATTTGTAGAAAAGATGCGGGATCGAAAGAATTGCTATTAATAGAAACGACAACATCCGCTCAATGTTTGATTATCCAGACACGGCAAAGGACATCCGCTTAAAAACCGCCTGGCAGTACGCGTCTCAAAGTATTTTTAGTAACAACAGTTGGAACTGGAAAGACACGGCGCGTGGGCAATAGTGCATCAATATGAAGGCATACAAATTGTTTACGGCTTTTTATATTACGATATTCAATTATTTCTGATTAAATTATTTTTTATATTTGCGCGAGTACTTAATCACTCACGTAAATTTGGTTTTACGCGAGCGTAGCGTGCGCGCGAGTAATTACACGCGTCTCGTGGCAAGCCCTGTTGAACCATATAAGGGTGGGTTTCAACGTCATTTGGTTCAATTGACCAATCTCTTTGATTATTTACATCATATTTGACCAATTGGATAATTAAATGTCAAAACCCAAGCTACAAAACTATCATATTTGTGAGCAATCACTAGACAGCAGTTTGATTCCAGAAGGGAAAAGGTGTAGCAATTTCTATCAGCAGACTCACTCATCGCGTTGGGCTGGCTGGATGAGGTTTAAGAGATTGACTTTAGGATTGTAATCTATACTATGCTTGTATCTATGTATCCAGCTATGATATATAAAATTTAAAAGCGAACTGTTGCATTGTTATTCCTGATAAGACAAACGTCTTAACTGAGAAAACAGTAAGAAGTAAATACAAAACGTGAAGCAGAAGCAAAGACAGCTAGAGACAACTTCTAGACGATCACAAGGCTACTAAAATATGTAGTAAGAAAAGATACATGGGTCATACGTAGGATGTGGCGACCGGAAGCAATGGGCCATTCTCCATGTCTGACAGAAGACCCATGCTGCTACAAGATACATAGTATACTCTGTCTCTCTCCAATTTTTTATGTTTTTATCAACATCATCAACAGTTCCTTCTAATGATATGTATCTTCTTGAGAAGAAGAATGACAATCTTGTGGTGAAAGTGCAATATACTTTAAGATAGCGGTCATTTTAGTTCTATGAAAGGTGCTCTGTTTAATATACTAAGCAGCAAAAGAAACGTCAGGTTGGTATGTTACTCTGAATAGACGCATTGAATAAAACTTGCCAAATGTTTTTATTGTATATTTGTGACCACATCTCTAACTTTACTTGAGCAATAAGGCTCCTTCCAAAACATAAAACTGAACCCAGGAAATGTTCTCAAAAACGCAACCTGACTTCTGAGATGGTAATGTGTTCTCCATGATTTTCAAGTAACTCATGCTGGATGTGCTGTTCACCGGGACCAGCCCTATAAAATGCACTCCATACCTGGTTGAATCATTCACACTACAACGTCAGCAGCATGCCACTGATGATCGCCCCGAACTGGTAGACCAAGGTTTACAAGGCGACAAGACCGCAAGCTGTGCGACAGCACGTGCAGAATCCTTTTACACAGGCATCTGAGACAATGGAAACACACGAAAGACCCATCAGTACTGATGCAGTGTGCCGAAGTCTCACCAGAGAGAACATCCATTGCCATAGACCTTACCGTGGACCGATCCTCACCCCTAACCTAACCTAACCATCGATATGAAAGTTGACAGTTTGCCCAGCAACACCAGAACTGGCGACACAGGCAATGGAGAACTGTTCTGTTCACAGATGAGAGTCGGTATTGCTCACAACTGCAGATGGCAAGACGAGAATATGGCGTCTACGTGGCCAGCGTTATTCTGACCAATGTGTCATGAAACAAGACTCATGGGGAGGTCCAAGCACAATGGTATGGGGTGGAATCGGCTTGAACCAGAGAGTGGGTCCTGTGATGTTCCAAAATCTTGGTCCAGGGAGAGGCCACGGCATCACAGCTGTGCGCTACATCGATCAAGCTCTAAGACCTCACATCAAATCACATTTTGCACGTCATCAAAACAACGTTTTCCAGCATGACAACACCTGTGCCCACACCGCCAGAGTTACTCGGGACTTTCTACAGCAGAACGGTGTCAACGTTATGCACTGGCCAGCCCTTAGTCCGGACTTAAACCCAACTGAACATCTTTGGGATGAAATTCGCACGTCATCAAAACAGCGTTTCCAGCATGACATCGCCCATGCCCACACCGCCAGAGTTACTCAGGACTTTCTACACGGTGTCAACGATATGCACTGGCCAGCCCTTAGTCCAGACTTAAACCCGATTGAAAATCTTTGGGATGAAATTCAGAGGAGACTTAATAATGTCATACCGAGACCAAACACAGCTGATGGATTGCACCAGGCTTTTCTGAGAGTGTGGTTCCAGGTGCCAATGGCGTTCATCAGTCGTCTGGTCCACTCCATGTACAGATGCTACACTCGCGGTGGACACACCAGATACTGATGCATAGACTGTGTATAGAGGGATTCATGCACAGAACAAAAAATAAATAAACGAGCTTAGTTTGGGTCTTATTTTAACAAATATGATAAGACTTACCATTTATATCATCATTCATGAACAATTAAACTATTGCTAAGTTGGATATTTGTGTGATTTAACCATTTGAATGGGACTTTCTAATATATGGAAAAGTTGATCGCCCAAGTAGCGTTACAGTGGTAGATTTTTTCATCTAAAAGAGTTATGTTTCTTGGTCACATCAAAGTTTCAAATTTTGCTCTGAAAAACGAATTCTTAATTTCCGCAGTCAGGATTCTTCGTTTCTTTACGTACGTACAATTAACAATTGAATTTAACATTTGTACGCGTGCGCAACCCTTAGTTAGAGAGAGAGGTTGTCTGTATTTATCAGTTACCTTGAGCTGATTTTTTTTTAACGTTTATATCAGTGATGGGATTTCAACATTTTTCTTGTCGGACATTTTACCGAAAATAAAGGGGCATAACTCTTATCATTATTTAAGCAGACGAATTCGTACCACAATTAAAAGTCACATGTCAAAATATTAAAATCCCGTACGGAATAAAAATAGGTGAACCTCGCTATTTTTCATATTTAATTCCCGTACAGTATTCAATTCATACCACAATTAAAAATCACATGTCAACAAAATATTCAAATCCCGTACGTAATAAAAATTGGTGACCTCGCTATTTTTCACACTTAAATTAATTCCCGTACGGCATTCAAATTTATGTCAGTAAATGTCGTACAAAATTAAGCATTTTCGTAATATGCTGAATGAAAGCTTGCCGATCCTGCTTCGGCATCAAATTCACAACCATAATATTCCTTTAGAATTACGTGTCTTCATTTATACGGCAGCAAATGAATGCAGAACTTCCGAAATAGTTAAATCACTTGTAAACAGGCATAGCTAACTTCAGCGAATAACACTCTTTCATAGTCACGACAGAGTGACAGGCATCATAGCCAACACAGCAGAATGATTGACATGCTTCTTAATTCCCGCCTACAAATACGTTAGAATTTCTGCTCATATAGCTATTGGTAGCTCCTCCCCTTTTTGTTATTTTGCTGGGTGCGGTATAGCATCAACCAACTCCAACTTCAGCGTACGGCGTACAAGTCTCGGTAACCCAGAAACTCCTAGTCTTCAACATATTCGTAGAATATTTTTCTGGATAATAGAGACCAATAGCATACGTGACTCGCATCACACTGCTTCAGAGTAAGCACTGCCCAGTAATATTATGTTAAGCAATATTCGTGTCGCGCTCGAGATCAAGGGAAAGTGCCACTGTGGATGAGAATTTCTATATGGATTCTTAAAAGACGTAAAAGATATCGTAGACAAAATGACTGTCCATTGATTTAGGGTGTTATTTACTCTTACGATATGTGACATCTATGATTAGTTTATTATAGTAATAGATGCTGTCGGCTCAAATCAATGCAATTAAGATGCCAGACAATTGAGAAACCACTAGGTAAACAGGTGGATTAAAATTATAATCATTCTTATTGAATTGATGAATAGTCCGACAAAAGGAAAGCAATGACTTCTGTTTAAGATTAGATTGATGAATTGTCCGACAAAGGATTAAGTCAGTCAATCAAGGCAGATTAAGTAGTTAATCAAGGTAGGTTTATACTATAGACGGTATAACACGATAAATACGTTGATCACTTCATTACCTAATAAACCCAGCGTATTATCGACGATAATCGGGTTGAGTGGTAGTTATACACTCAGTAAACTATATTAATTTCGGAATTCTGAATATTATTCACCATGTCTTGATGTCCGATTGGGCATATTCCCGGTCGGACAATTTTGGGCGTTTGGAAATATATGGGCAAAATCCCATCACTGGTTTATATGCAATAGACTATAGTT